ATAAAGATTTGCTCAAAAGTGAGAGATGTCATACACTGTTGATGTTCTAGCTATAGCAATGTGTTCACATCTTGTGATATGTTGATAACCAAAAAACCTTTAGTTCTTAGTTTTTATTTAACAGAGCCTTTGAGATGATGAACGATGATAAAACCTGAGATTTCACAATTTCCACTTCAAATGAGAGTCGTTCGCAACATTCGAATTTTAAAGGAATCAGTAGATGAGCTGGAGAACGTTGAATTTGTAGTGCAGATGCTATCATTAGGTTTCCTTCAGTAATTTTAGTCAAGTAGCGCCTGTTTTACGTGATTTTCAGAGCTCACTGTAACACTCAGCTCATCCATAACAAAACAATCCCCTGAAGTATGACCCAGCATATGTTCAGCTAAATCTGTAATAATTCGAGTAAAGTAGAGGGCGAAAAAAGTTTTTTGTTTGCCGTGAATTTTTGATCTCCAACCTCATTCACATTTGGCTTGTTCTCAGATCTCCGAACATATTATCGCAAGAAATATTGACTGCAGCGGATGTGTTTTTTTCTAGTAAACGTTGAAGTTTTCTTTTCCATGCATATATTAGACAACTTAGTTTGAGATGTGACCTTATAAGTCTTTTATTACTTTTCTATTGCAAATGTCTCACCTAAGTAGGTTTGGTTGTTTAATGCACCTTAAGTTTAATGGGGAAAAGATTTTCTCAATGAATTTTGGGTCAAAATTAAACTCTGAATTTTAGGATCCAGTCAGCAAGCGTCCGCTGCCAATAATACCTCAACAAATGCAGAACAATATGCTCACACATCAACAGCTAATGCAGCAAGCAGCCCTACAAGGTAAATATCCGAATGTTCATTTTAAATAACCCGCTTAGTCCCAATTCTATGAAATCTCATAAATAATTTTTATCTTTTAGAATTTTTTACTTCAGCGGCAATGCAAGCTCGAACGATGGCATCCACGGGGCAGAACTCTTACCTACCTGCACCACCACATCTTCGCCCACTCGATGGTAGCGCACCACAGCAGTTACGTCAGCTGGATCCATCACAACAACTACGACCTCTCGATACGACTACTGCACAACAGATGCGGCAAATGGATCAGGCCGCAGCCGCAGCGGCGCAAGCACAAGCGCAATATCGAGCACATGATCAAAGTGTAGCGCAACAGTTACAGAGACAATTACAACCACAAATGCTGCAAAATCAGGTACAATTTGCGTTTAGGGGTTATGCTTACCGTAAGTTTTTACGCTTCAGTGAAGAATTGTATTCAGGCAGCATTACAAATGCGAAATCAGCAGATGACCGTGCAGGAGTATCACAATTTGTTAAGACTAACTGCTCAGCCAGCTGGTTTGCCGCAGCGACGACAAACC